ACCAATCTTGAAGTATCATTTAGAAAGAGCATTAGATAAGCTTTCGAATGATATATAACACTTACATTTTATTGGAATAAAATAAGTATTAAATACAAAAAAACAAAATCCTGCATTTCTTTTGCAACGACCTAATATATATTTAGCGTTCTATTTTGTGCCTAGCAAGCTGTTACGCAGCAGCCCAATGGGTAAAAAGATCCTATCGTTCAGTACAATGTCAGGTTTCAAGAAGGACAGACTTGGAAACTAGCTATATATTCCTCTTAGATCTTATGGGGAAAGCGTAGAATTCCTACTTCATTGAAGAGAGCCTCTTGACCACTTGATGACAGGAGCGTAGCTTCATATAGCTTGAAGTCGCACTCTGTTCTTAGTATGTAATTGGGTTAAACAAGAACCCTGTTGAAAATATCACTCCCTATCCCTGAGACAGAGTAGGCTTAGCATTTTAACATGACATAGGACGGGTTACTCGTGCGATATTTCTACATGGTACAACTGTAATTTTTTCTGTGATGGACGAAGACATGATCACAACTATCCCAAATGAAAATATCTCAAGAAAACGCTAGCTGCCGCCTCTTCAGGTACGCAGCCACGCCTCTCGCATCTCAGGGATTTTGAGTGTACATGTACTGTACTTGCAGTTGTGAAATAATAGCCATAGTACGGCTAACCCTATTTCAAGCGATCGGAAAGACTGAATTTGGTTGTTGATTTGGAAATAGTGCGAATTCTTCAGTGGGACGTCAAAGTCATTTTAAACCTGATTATCCATTTGAATGGGATTAGAGTGGTCTTTGCTGGTAACGACTTGATTCATGCGTCACAACATATTTTAGAATTCCCATTCGCCTAAACTTGATGGATCGCCCCCTAAGAAGAAGAAACTCACTTTACCAAACGAATCGCCTGTCGAGAATGGCAAGGCTGAAAAGAAAAAGAAGAAGAAGAAGGCTAAAAATCTTATGAATGAGGCATGTTTCCCATAATTTAGTATATTTGGTTTTTCCCTCTGGATAAGATTCTGATAATTTCTAGAACGGCGCAAAGACTTCCGTAACGAGCACCACTGAATCGAACGGCGGAACGTCAAAGAAGAAACAAAAGGTGCTGTCGCTGAAGGAATTTGATGTTTCATTTGGGATTGCTTTTGATTACTTGAATTGACCCTTCTAATTCAGCCTATGGCATTGTTCGATTCTGACGATGAACCCGATGACCAAGACATTAGCAAGCTTGAAGGTGCGATTGGAGAAGACTCAGATATCGAAATGGACGACGACTTTGGCAGTGACGTATCTGTGGACGGTAGTGCGAGTGGTGAGTTCTGAGTATAGCTCTTATCCTTCGTTATACTGATGTCAGTATGTCTTCTAGCTGATGATGATTCTGATGATGAACTACCTATTGAGAAAAAGTCACGGTTGTTGGACAAAAGAAAGCAGAAAACAGCGTTAGTAACTAGCATTTTCTTCCATGATGGAAATTATTCGTTCAGCTGCTCTATTTTTACAGGGAGGAAGGTGAATCAGAACTACGCCTAAATATTGCTGGTCAACAAAAATACGAACTCCCTACAGTTGATGAAGTAGAGAAGCAACTTAGAGAACTTCCCAACCTTCAAATTATCAGAGATAGGATTAGCGAGGTTGTTCAGGTAATAACACACTTCCTTCTATTGCATCCAAGCTTCATCTAACTTCGGTTATCACAGTAATGCTTAGCCATGGGCAAAATTTTAGCCCCAGTCGCGACTCGAACCCGCTCCTTACGCTTCTCGGGCAAGTGCGCTAACCGTTGCGTAGTCAAGCTCGCTCTTACCCTCCCAGCTTGGCAACTTTTATGTCGTAGCAACATGGTGAGCCGGTCAGGGCAATCGTTTGATATCGGCGATTAGCGCGAACTACGCGTTAAACAGTAGTTATCATAACAAAAACTTTAAACTCTAGTATTATATCGTCTTGTATATCCAAACTGTGGGGACAGTGTAATTCTTCTTCTTATTCTTCGGCGTTTATCGCGCTCTGTGGCGGGGTCCGCCCTTCTGAATTGGTATGCCATTTCTTCAGCTTG